GTATGTGTTGTATATGTATGTAGATGTATATGTGTGTTTGAGGACAGGACCGTTTCTTATTATATTAATACAGGACTAAGGCGTACATTCCCCAGTTCGCGCTCCGACGTTGTTTACGTAACATATCCGCACATTATTTGACGAAATACATTGCTCTTAATACCAAAGTAAAATTCTTCTCTTATGAATATAATCGTGCACAAGATTAATAAATAATCAATGGAACTAACAGACTGAATTTCGAATACATAAGCCCAAATCTCAGCAAATATTAACATAGATAATAAGCATTTTGAAATGTTTTAAAATTTACGAAGGGAGATGTACATTCGCGTTAGCCGAATTGGGTTGACGTCGACTCGGTTTCTTCTGACTGTGACGCGCGGATATGGTAGTAAGGGAAAAACGTAAAATGAAAATGTCGCCCTGAAAGGTTAGGGCTAGAACAGGATGAAAAAAGGGTACGGGAATAAAAGGAAACGAACGATTCACGAAGCTCATTGCGATGCAGATATTCGAACCGTTTCGAGGGGAAAGAAGAAGAGAGAAGCTGCCGGGGCGCGCGTAGAACCGGCTGCAGAAGGCGAGACGTTTTTATCGCGGATTTCGAGCGACTACGGGGACCTCTCGCCGTTCCTCCCGTGCTCGTCTTCGTTGTCGTCGCAGGTAGTCGGTACGTGCGTGCATCCTCAATGAGAGACGTGCGCCCGTTGAATAATGCTGAGAATTCGGAGAAGAAGAAAATAAAGGTTCGACGGTGGCGGAACGACAGAGAAGAGAGTAAGGAGGCGAATAATAAAATGAGCTGAGAAAATGAACGTGGCAACGGGCGGCAGGAGCGAGAGGGTGGATGAGTCACATGGTTACCAAACCAGCCGGCGTCTCAATGAAACCCCTCGAGCAACCTCGTTAAAGCGGATCCCGCGACACAAAACGGCCGATGCTAAAGCCGCCCGGGCTACCGCCTCTGTTCTCGTTGCACTCCGCGTAACCGCGAATACCGGCCACGCGGTGTAAAAGATAACAATTTGAAAGAATCATTCCACACTTCTGTGTTTACTTCAGACAATTTCATTGCAATCATGATGTAAAAACATAAGGTGTGTTCTTGCGCATCCATTTGAACATCCATCTGTACACGGACACTTCCACTCGTTGGCCATTTTGGATTTCTAACCAATCACACTTCATATTAAAACCATAGAGTTAGTATAGATAGAGTAGGCAAGCCCGGTAGGTAGGCGTCCGGTGAATAAAAAGAGAAAGGAAATTGGATTTGGTGGTGCTATCTTTCTCTCACGACGAAACAGAGAAGAAATAATAATACCAAGTTCGTTTTTTCTCTCTTTCTATCGATGTGATGTTTCCACTTACACGCTCGCCTATGTCTTGCCTACTCTATCTATACTAACTCTATGATTAAAACAGAGCGAATTTGAAAATCGTAAACATGTCAAAAATTAGGTTCTCGGAGAGTAATATATATGCGTGTTTGAAATAAACAATAGATCATCGTACTTCCAATATGGCCGATGAGTGGAAGACGCAAACAGCGACACATTTGAACACGCCGGAAGAACACACCTTATGTTTTTACATCACGATTGCAATGATAACTTTTCAATTTCATTCGAAACAGGATGGAACGCGTAAAATATCGGAACTTAACAGAAGTTCGATAGCCCGACAGGGAATATACGGTCGCGGGGACATCCGAAATT